ATTGGGATGCCTTCGTAGAATACAAGACATCTCAAGAGAGTGAGGAACGTGTGATGAGGAATCAGCAGAATGCCCGACAGAAGCAATACCATCATCGCATGGGATCAAGTGGTTATAGGAGTGCTATTCCCAAGTGGCAGAACCTAGAAGCAGAGATTACTGCCAAGGGAATCATACCTGAAACAATAGAGAAGAACTGGCCTCAATGCACGAAGAATTGATTCTACGCTCATGGGGGAAGCCTAGACCCAGACACTGGCAAGCTAATTTTCGGCCAAAAAATTGAGAGAGCAACACAAAGACTAGCTCGTGCTAGGGAAGAAGCTGATAGTGGTGTTTTCAAGCCCAACAGAGAGAAGGATGAATTGACATATGCCCTAGAGAATCCCGAACACGGTGGTCGAACAAGAGGCTATGGGGCGGTTCCGTGGCTACACGCATTCCCAGCAGACAAGGATACCTACAGAAGCCGCCAAAGAAAGAAGGATGAGGAGGCAGAACGAATCCGTGCATTGGAGCAATTTGTTGATGAGTCACGACAAGCATTGCTTGAATCACGTGAACGAGAAAAATCTCTTGAGGCAAGAATGCAGGAGGAGATCAAGAGGCAAGTGCAGCTAGCAATGAGTCAAATGCAATCGCAATCAATGCCGGGAGTCACCATTAGCCCCGTTGGTTAGATGAAAAGTAGTTGTGCTTCCACGGAGCTGCCAGTTATTCAAGATGACGCTGGGTTGCGCTTCCCTGTTGATGACATTACCGAGCCTCTAACAACATGTGAGCTACACATTCCAAATGGTAATAATGCATCAATCATGGTGGCTATCGGGGTTGTATCTTCAATAGACCGAACGAAGACACCAAGAATCCATGGGTCAGTTATTCAACCTAGATATGCTAGCGTCTCGGTCGATAGAGTGCTCAAAGGTTACAGCAATGTTCCTCTTGACATTGAAGGCGGTGATGGGGAGAAGACACTAGGAGAAGCAGAGAAGACATTTATTCAATGGCGCAAACGCTTCATCATCATTCCTGGGGCGCCACCGCTTCCCCTACCTCACCCTAGGTACGAATGAAAGTGAATGAAATATTATTTTCCGTTAATTTTCTATTGGCTTCAAAAAAATAATTGACACACAACTTGTTTTTTGTAGCAGGGGTCTCCCACCTAGCCCAATCATTCATTCCCCATCTCATCACACAGTGTCATGGGGCGAGACGACTTCATCCCCCATGGCGATCGCCAACTCCTCACACACACCCCATCGCCCCATCGCCTCCACAACGATCTCCAACTCCTACACCAGCCCCACCGCCTCCACAACGATCTCCAACGCCTCCACGCGGGTCTCCACCAACACCGGCCTCATCGCCTCCACGCCGGTCTCCAACACCGCCCCCCCCTCCTCCAATGACGCACTACAAAGGCGTCTAAGGTCCCGTGCAAAGAAGACCCCGAGAAAAAGAGTTATTTCTCAAGAAATACTTCCTGAAAAGACTGATGAGCAAATAGCAGCTGAAGAAGACAAAAAAGTGAAAGATTTTTTTATAGATATCAAAAACAAGAGTCAAGCGAAGCTTAAGGAGAAGCCGTACTTTTACATACCACGAGATGTGCTGAGGCAGAAGGTCGATGCTCACAAGAAAAAAATGATTGAACTTCGTAAGCCTTCGCCACTATTAGACTATGACCGCTCCCTCGTGAAGTCACATGATGTAGATAAGAAAAGGAAAAGAGCATCAGGGAAGGATGTCCCACAGCTCGGACAACAGAAGCAACCAATGCAAAATCTTGTTGTTGCTAATGAATATGGTTCCAACATAGAAGTCTATCGACCAGACAACTCTGGAGAAGTGTTGGTTCAAGCCCTTAATTGTTTTTTTTGAAGATACTGGTTTAACCTTGGATCAATTGATGGGCAAAGCTCCAATCCAGAACCTGGAAGTTGATACCTGGAAGACTTATAAATATGGCAAAAGTCTGTACAACCCTGCGGCTCTGAATGAATTGGGTACGCAAATGTACTTGCTCAATAAGTGGTACATGCAAGCATGTGGCAGGGGTGAGCAGTGGATCTTTGTCAGATTTAGAGACCATCATTACTTCCGTGGCGATGACATCTTACATATTAGTTTCGAAGAATTGCATCAACTATACCACATGGACGCTCTGGATAAATCAATCATTAGCTCCTTTTGTTTGTAAGTGATTCTTACTTTTATTTAATAAACTCACTTCCATGCGTACGTGTATATAATTATCCTCACATGTAACTTATATTTATATACAGATTCCAGATGTCAGAGCTCCAAAGAATACAAGACACCAGTGTTGGCTTCATTGATCCTTATATCGTATTTAAAACCGGTATTATTGTCAAGGAGTGGTGGGTATCTGAAGCACAGGAGAATATCATGATGTTCTTCGTGAAGCAGCACGACAACACAACAATACTTTTCCCGTACAACTTTGAGTAAGTGTTAATAATAATGTAGTCTACATATTTTATGTAATATCAATACAACTTATATACATGTACGTGTGTGTATAAACCAATGCAGGTTTCACTGTATACTCATTGTTATTGAGTTAAACTCAAGTCGGTTAGTAATCTTTAACTCGTTGAGAAAAGAGCGGGCACTATACTAAGATATGATAGACATTATCCAGGGGTAATTTCGATCTCTCGCGCACAACTATTATTGAATAGACTTTACCATAATTTATTAACGATCGTACATTATTGGTCGCACAGGGTTTGGAAAGAGTTTATTCGGCAACATCGCAAAGATTGCAAGGCACCACTTAATGTAGTTGAAATACCAATAAGTTGTACTATATACACTTCCCCACGTGTTTAATTACTATATCGTACTTCAATTTACGTTTGAGATGATGAGAATAATCTTCTTCTCGTACAGTGGTGTTTGCGGCAGCAACCAGGTAATAACTTGTGTGGATACTATGTTTGTGAATTTATCACTGCGCACATAAGAAGAACTCTGAAGATGTCCTCGAATACGTATATATCAATTTTTTATTTATTTTTAAATGAATATATATATATGTATTAATACTTTTCCTTTTATTTCAAATGCAAGACTGAATGGTTGAAACGAAGGGTCATGCAAAAAGACCATCTGAAAGCAGTTCAAGAGTCAATAGCAGGATTTCTTCTAGAAAAAGTGCTAAATCCCAACGGCGAGTTCTACTTTGATCCTAAGAAATAAATGATGTAAATTAAATATTTATTGATATCGTTATTTTCGAGAACAAGATTATGAAAGTGTTGTATATATACATATATATATATATATCTATACTATATATAGGTTCATACTTTATTCGAATATAATAATGCTCGAGATGAGAATTAGATGTAATTATATGCGTGCGTGTATTTATATTAGCAGCGTAGAATACGCACATAAAAACATATTATATATTAAACAAATACGTGTAACTGAACTGAAAACAAATTAAACAAAAAAAAAAGAAAAGGAACATTCAGTCCCGGTTGGGGTTACCAACCGGGACTAAAGGGTGAGGCCACGTTTGCTCAGCTGGAGGGCCTTTAGTCCCGGTTGGTAACACCAACCGGGACTAAAGGTCTCTCTTTAGTCCCGGCTCGATGACCCGGGACTAAAGGTGTCACCTTTAGTCCCTAGATCGTTGTCCCGGCGCGGTAACCGGGACTAAAGGCCGTTACTGTCTAGGACAACAAGTCCATTGTGTAGCAGTGAACAAGGAGCTGGCCGAAGCACTAGCGGCTATAGCACAGGAGATAGAGGAGGTTGAGATGGAGGTTCCCTTAAGCTTAGATGCAAAACCAGTGTTGTTGCGTCTGCGATCCATGTATTGTAGACTAGAGTCAATGGCCGTTCTCCTACTGGTGGAGTTAGGAATGCCTGAGTTCGTGATGAGTTCTTGGGAAAGGTGGACTAAATGCTGTTTGGGAGCTGGTGGTGGCGAGTTGCACAACTTTTTAGTATGTAATAAGCCCATGTAGAACATCAAACCTCCGCAGCCTAGGCTGTGGATGGTAGCGCTCCTTGCGCATGTAACGGCTGTTTGCCACCTTCTTCTTATTATAAATCAAAGCCGGGAAATCAGATCTTTCAAAAAAAATGCTATAGGCTGTTAGCTGTTGAGCACATGTATTAGCACTAGGTACCGAGGATGGACCTTTATTTACAGCAAAAGAAAGTTTCAGACTGCAATCATTGACATTATTTGCCAAACAAAACGTTCACGGATCACAGTCAGAAACCATCAATGTTTTCGCGTAGCAGAACGCCACTTGATGTAGTCCAGTGATAACACCTAGCCCAAGGTAGCAAGAGGCCACGAGCAATGTTCCTTATAAAAAAAATCAAGAGCAACAGAGCTAGATGCGGCGGTGACGTTGGTAGTGGGGCTCGGTCGGAGCTGCGCTCCCTGGATCGGAGAGGCGGACCCGACCTCGACCTCCTCAGACCTCAGTGTCCCAACACCAGTAACCATAGAGGCAAATCGCCATGAGCAAATGGAAACCGGCGACGACACGGCACAGCAAGAGAGGAGCGGCCGGGGGTCGAGATTCGAGAGGACGGGCGTAGTGTCATCTGGTGGCAAGCTAGGGTACTCTGTGTGTGTGCACGCGCTCCATCGTCTTTCTTCCTTACTGACAGTACTGCATCATCCTCTGCCTTCCCACTTCTTCTTCTTCTTCCCTCTTCAGCACCGACACTCTATCCCTTCCTTACCTCCTCTGCTTCTTCCCGCTTCCTCATGGACACTCCATTCCCTCTCTCTCCCCCTTTATAGTGACCCCGAAGCATGCAGGTTCGGGCGTTCGGCAGGGGCAGGACGACGGACCGCCGCATCCTTTGGCTGGACGCTGGCAAGCTGGGGCTTCGATCTGCCACCTCCACCGAGTGCGCGCGTGACAACAGCAGCGCCAGCAGGGCGACAACGGCCGCAAGCCCACAAGCCACTGAACTCTCCAAGTTTGCAGAACATGGAGAAGATGAAGCCGCGCGATTACGTTGAGGCTGGAGGGGGGGCCGCGGGAAGTGCTGCAGGGCGTAAAGCCGGGAAAGTGGTGGGAGGTGCAGTTGGGTCTTTACTTGGTCCAGCGGGGACAGTGGTGGGAGGTGTAGTCGGGGGTATAGCCGGGAGTGTAATCGGGCGTCGACTGGGGACTAAAGGTAAGCAAAACACATCACTTTTTTTTTCACTGTCCAATTTCTGCGCAGTGTGCTTGCATTCCCATCTCTCTCCGGCCTCTAACTCCCCCTCTAACACGAATTTCAGTTGCACAGAAGTACATGGGCAGTGATGTGGAGGACTTGAAGAAGAAGGTGGATGACTTGGAGAGGGAGAATACCAGGCTGTTCGGTGATAAGGACACACTCCAGAAGGAACTGAAGAAGAAGGTGGATGAGTTGGAGCACACGAGGAGGGCAGCTCTAATATTCATGGACGCTGCCGATACTTACCAAGAAGCAGCAGAAAAACAAATTAAGCAAAAGGTGGAAGAACTGAAGGACACAAGGAAGGCAGCTCTTGTGTTCATGGACGCTGCCGATACATACCAAGAGGCAGCAGAGAAGCAAATCAAGGCAAAGATGGAGGAAATAGAGGACGCAAGGAAGGCAGCTCTGGTGTTCATGGACGCTGCCGATACGTACCAAGAAGCAGCAGAGAAGCAAATCAAGGCAAAGATGGAGGAAGTAGAGATCACAAGGAAGGCAGCTCTGGTGTTCATGGACGCTGCCGATACGTACCAAGAGGCAGCAGAAAAACAAATTAAGAAAAAGGTGGAAGAACTGAAGGACATAAGGAAGGCAGCTCTGGTGTTCATGGACGCTGCCGATACGTACCAAGAAGCAGCAGAGAAGCAAATCAAGGCAAAGAGAGAGGAATTGGAGGACACAAGGAAGGCAGCTCTGGTGTTCATGGACGCTGCCGATAGGTACCAAGAAGCAGCAGAAAATCAAATCAAGGCAAAGAGAGAGGAATTGGAGGACACAAGAGAGGCAGCTCTGGTGTTCATGAACGCTGCTGATACATACAAAGGAGAAGCAGAGAAGGAAATTATGGCAAAGATGGAGGACTTGGAGGACACGAGGGAGGCGGCTCCGGCGTTCACAAGGGAGGTCCTGCACGTACCATGTACAATTAAAGGAGTAAAAAGAGGCAAAGGAGTAAGAATTAAAGGTGATGGGGAACAAGAAGACAGAACTAGATGCGAGGTTGGAGTCATTGGGGGCAGATGCCATGGTGAAGAAGTTATACGACATGGCATTGGTGACTAGTGAAAATGAAAAGCGTCGATTGTAGGTTTTAGTCACGGAGAAGAAATATAGCATGTCTGAAGCAAAGGCTAATAGGCTCAAGACAGAATTGGGTGTGTTGGTGATGGCGAAGGAAGCAACTACGAAGGTGTCTGCTACTGAAATGTTAGAAATAGTAAAGGAGTTGGAGGACCTCAAAAGGAAGGTGGAGAAAATAAAGGCCAGATTTGATAATGGGCAAAGAAGATAAGCTTCATTTAGAAGTCTTTCCGAGGAAAAAAACACATTATGGCCAGTGATCTTTAGCTGGTCGTGACTCGTGACAGCAAGGTTTACTGCATATGAGATATCAGGTCTTGTAAAAGTTAAGTACTGTGACATGAACCGTCCATCAGGAGAGATTGAATGGTAAAGAAGTAGGAGGTACCGACAAAAAAATACTGAAAAGTACCGAATAAATAAGATTAGTACCAAAATATATGGGGTCGTTACCAATGTTTTTTTTCAGTTTCTATTGAAATAAAAAGGTAAATTGGTAATTTCGTTGAGCTCCCGTCTGGCCCTGGGGTTCAGCCTTCTGCTGGGATTCTCTGGCCAGCCCTCCGGTCTTGGTGCTCCTGGTGTGTGCTCTGCCATAGCTCCGCCATGCGGGCTCTGCTGGGAGAGGCCGTGTGGATGGCACCGGGCTGAGGCCGTCCTTCCGCGTGCAGTCGCCAGAGCCCTGAGGCTCCTCCTCCAGCGATGACTCTCCTCTCCTTCTGCCTGTAAGTCGCCGTCCTCCCCTCAGTGCTGCCCTATGGACCTTAAGGGTCTTTCCTTCGGTGGAACCTGCAGCTTTGTATCCTTGCTTACAAACGAATTGATAAAAACTGAACTGCTTTCATTCAGTCATTCATTAAGATTTAGCATATAAGGTTCTGAGTTGCTGCCAGCTCCTGCACTTCCATGATTATGCGGCTAGTGAACAAAATTTAGCATGCCGTTTTCTTCCATTACAGTACATTTCCTCTACAACGGCTTGGATATGAAATGCAATGGTAGCAGCGGCTTGTCTCCTTGCGACCTTGCAGCATCCCGTCCATGAGCGGTTCGTCTGATCATCTCCGAGCGGTTCGTCCGATCGTCTCCGAGCAGCATCCCGTCCACGAGTGGCTCACTCTCTGAGCGGTACAATAGATGCTGACGATGGCGGCCATGGCACCGATCTCAACACAGTCAAGGAAGACGAGCAATGGCAAGAGCAGAAGGTGGAGGAAGGAGGGTTGGGGGCGTCAGAATCTTGGAGGAGCGCCCGAGCAGGGCAGCGGCGCTAAGTTCCGAACTTTCGTTGACTCTGCTCTGTTCAGTTGTTAGTTAGGATACGAAGACGAATTTGGACAATTACCATTATATCCTTAAGTACATAAATCCAATTTTACTAATTATCTTTCTTAAATTAATGTAAATAAAAATAAAAAAGAAAAGTACCTAAAAGTACAGGCGGTACTTTTCAACCACTGTAACAAGGCTCAAAAAAAACATACGTGAAGTAGAGATTAAGAGGCTCAAGATGGAAGTTGGTGTGTTGATAGAGGCGAAGGAGGCAGCTACAAAGGCATATGATGCTGAGAAGGCAAAAATGATGAAGGAATTGGAGGACTTCAAGAGGAAGGTGGAGGAAATTCAGGCCAGCAAGGAAGCGGATGAGGAAGCAGGGAATGGCGAGGATGCTCAAGCTGATAAGCTAAGAGTTGAGTTGGAGGAGCTTCAATGTTTCTATGTCACAGCTACAACCATCCTATGATGAACTTGATGCTAAGCATTCTTGCCTGAATGATGAAAAGAACTCAATCCAGGAAGCACTAGATTCTGAGAAGGCTGAAGCATGCGAGCTGACATAAAAAAAAATTGTGGCCATACACACACACACACAAAAACACACACATTTACAACACTGCTGATACATACCAAGAGGCTGCAGAAAAGCAAATGAAGTCAAAGGTGGAGGAATTGGAGGCCACGAGAAAGGCGACTCTAATGTTCATAGAAGCTAATTATACGTACCAAGAAGCAGAAGAGAAGCAAATTAAGGCAAAAGTTGTGGAATTGGATGGCACGCGGAAGGCTGCTCTAGTGTTCATGGATGCTACTGCTATGTGCTAAGAAGCAGCAGAGAAGCAAATTAAAAAAAAGGGGAAGGACTTAGAGGACTTGAGGAAGGAGGCTCTGGCATTCACAAGGGAGGCCCTAGTGTACCATGCACAATTAGAGGAGCAAATAGAGGCAAAGGATTAGGAATTGAAATTGTTAGGGAACAAGAAGGCAGAACTGGATGTGTGGGTGGAGTCACTGGAGGCGGATGCCATGGTGAAGAAGAAGAGATATGACTTGGTGACCAGTGAAAACTATAAGCTTCAGTTGGAGCTTTTAGTTGCCTGTCTTAAGTGTGGAAGCTTATAGGCTGAAGGTAGAATTGGGAGTGTTGGTGGAGTCGAAGGAGGCATCTGCGAAGGCATTCAATGCTGGGAAGGAAGAGTTAGTAAAGGAGTCGAAGGACCTCAAAAGGAAGGCGGAGGAAATAAAGGCCAGCCTTGATTTGGTAATGTGCAAAGATGATAAGCTTCAATCAAAGTCTTGACTACACAACGAAAACATAGCCTATCAGAAGTAGGGATTAAGACGCTCAGGATGGAAGCTAATATATTGGCAGAGGCAAACGAGACAGCTTTTTTTTTTAACTAAGGAACAAAAGTATTCCGGCCTCCCACATTCACGAGTAAATGGGTATAACCACTCAATTCAGACACAGGTCCAACGACCACGCTCCGATATGCAGAGCAACTCATACAAGACACACGGCAACAAACGAGGCAACCAGCCAAGTTCTAACAAAAAATAACCAAGACACTTAGCTCTGCAAACTTCTGTGTTGCTTCCAGCCCAATCTTCCAAAAACTTGTAACATTATCACTTCCAGCTGCTTGCATCCTTTTTTTTAAGTCACACTCTCTTTCTCTTTAGATAACTGACACCATTGTCTAATTCAGTAAGTCCCTCTAAAAATTACGTGAAAGGAGTCAGCATTTTTCTTTTAAAACACCATATCATTTCTATTCAACCACATTGCCTAGCACATCGCCGCCAGTCCCACCATAATCCGGTTTCTTAGAATCGGAGTAAAACTCTTTAGCCACGAACCAAACAAGTGCATATTATCTTTGGGTATAGATGTTCAAACGGGCTGCCCGGCCCTAGTCTAGGGCTAGGCACGGCCCACAGTGACCGAGTAGGTGTCACTGCGAGCAGTGACCTGATTCACTCGCCACACCTGAGCAAGTGTCGTATATGGGCGATGGTCCCGGAGGTCTGCTCTTTGAACCATCTATGCGCGCAGAAGCCTAGAATGGGGACAACTCGGGAGCAGAAGGTACAGAGAGATGCGGCGGTGTTCTGTTTTTCTTGCGCAAGGCTAAGACGTGGGACTCCTCTTATGCGCCAATGGAGGAATATGATGGGACCAAAGCCAACGGAGTAATCATGGAGACGTGAGAGGGACGGTGGAATAACCGATAGAAACCCCCATTGTATTAACTTCTCTCATGATGCTCTAGGTAATTGTCCATTTGATGACTATCTAATGGCCAAGTGGAAAAAAAACCAGTCCAACCCGCACCACGTAGTACCGCGGCCCGGCCCGATCACGGTCACGATCATGCCTCAGCTCGGCATGGCACGACACGGCTTAGCTTAGCGCGCACGCGTGACATGCCCTTTGTCTCTCTCGACTTCATAACAGGTGATGCACACACAAGACACCTATTTGAATTGAGTCAACATTTATCACGGCACTAAGACTTTCATATACCTAGGATTTAATATGACATTAGAATTTATTTGATTTAATTGAATTAAAAATAGGCTAAGCCTAATAATTAAATTCAATAGAATTGAATCATACCAGTCTATACTGGGATCCATATGTTAAGATGTTTGGGTGGGCCGTGGGCCTCAACCACTAATTAAACCATAAATTTAGAAGGAAACGTTAAAAAAAAGGTGGGCCTCTGGTCCTGTCTGGGTATGCAAACGAATATGTGTACCTCTTAAAAAAGAAAGATAAGGGTTTCTTAAAAAAAACTTTGTTTAGTACTGGCGAAACAGTGAATTAGTTGTCGGTGTAGGTGATCTCCCAACCAAATCATTTAATTTGACGATTGCACGAGATATTGGACTTCAGAATAATTAATTCTGGTCCTACATATATATGTGTGGATGCATCTTCTGCATTCGCCAAGCACTACTGATTTTGACCATCACACGGATTGATGGAGCTGCAAGTGCTAGACGTTGTTCTGTATTGCGTCTTCACACTAGCCCTGGGGACGCTCGTTCACTTGATCTACAGGTGGAGGAACCCGGCATGCAATGGGAGGCTTCCTCCTGGCTCCATGGGTTTACCTGTTATTGGTGAGACACTCCAACTCTTGAAGTCAAGCCCTTCTTTGGACATTCCAGACTTCTACAAACTGAGGCTTAAAAGGTGAGTGATCATTTCTAGATCAATATCTTTCTGCAGACTCAAAACTATTCTTCACGCAAAAAAAAGAAAAGTCCGGTTCCCCAGTTGGACCTGAGTTGCCGGCCAGAATGTTTCTATGTTTACATGTAACTAATGATGCTAAATATGTTTCTTGACTCGTGATCAAACAGCGTAGCATATACATAGGTATTCAACGCTGTTTTGTGCCTATAGTGTATTAGTTTCACTACACCACATACAAGCTTGCGTAGGAACAACTTAACTAGTTATCATCATCATCATCTACTTTCTCAGGTATGGCAGTCTGTTCAAAACTAACTTTGGGGGGAAGCCTGTGGTTGTCTCCATGGACATGGAGTTCAACCGTTTCGTATTTCGGCAAAACGATAAGCTGTTTCAGTTATGGTATCCTGAAACAATGATGAGCATACTCGGCAAGAAGACCACGGCCACAGGCATTGGTCAGATTCACAAGCATATGAGAAGCATCCTTGCTCCGCTCTACGCACCAAAAAACCTCAAGGAAGCTTTCATTTCTGAAATGGAGTGCATCGTTGCAGAGTCCCTTAGACTATGGGCTACTAAGCCTAGCATCGATGTGAAAGAGGCTCTGACGGATGTAAGTTCGAGAATTCAATTCCTTGGTCAACATTGTTTAATGTGCTTCTGCTGATATCCATTAAAATAGTAGATGTACATGCCGGCATTTGTCAACAGTACTATATTTGGCA